GCGAAGTCCCCGACACTGACCGAAGGGAAGGGAGGGTCCTGTTCGCAGCGATCGGTCAAAAAGTCGCCAAAAACGATGCTTTTAGGAAGGTTGTTCCCAGGCGCCACGTTTCGCCACGTTTTTTTTACTTCCATGAAACATATGTTTCTGCTTCCGTTCCTTTCTCGTCTACCCCATCGTCCTTGTTAGACGTTGGCCTTTGACCTTCCTAAATATGACTACGTTACACGAAATCTTGTTAGGGCTACATATATATTTTTCTCGGCTGTTTTCGACATATTAATTGTGCTGTATTTTGGGTTTAAACTAGTATCTTCCTCTTTGGAAGTTTCATCTTTGAAATCAGGTTGTCACGAGCACGCTACGCCCTTCGCAACTGCCTCTGAGGTTTGGCCTCTGAAATGAGGTCGTGTACCATATACCGGGGAATGCCACGCTAATGGCGCTAAGGATATCAGCAAGGTTTTCCAATACGACTACCTTTCACTGTATAAACTCTCAAATCAAACCCTCGTTGAGGTATTCATCAGCGAAAATATCGAGATACACAACCGTGTTGCACAAAGAGATTTAGAATCATTGATTTACGAAGTGATGGAAGGTCGCGGTTATCCATCTTCAATACTCAATGCTATTCGCTCTGCGTCCATTGTTTATGTATCACGTCTGGATGCTGGCCAACCGGCCCCTGGTTTCTTCAACGACCGTAGACGACTGGAAAGGAAGGAAGCACGTATTCAACATGCTGCTGCCGAGGTGCAAGCTCTGGAAATCGCAAAGCAGAAATGGCCTCAGCCCATCCCTTATTCTACAATCATGAAATGGCGCGACGGCCTGGATTTAGCAGTACCATCAACGAGGGTTTGCAAGGTTGTTTACGATAAATATTCCATGGTGAGCACCGCGGTTCTTACATTTGCTTCGATTTCTCATATGGTGTATTGACTATTATTCGTCTCTTTTAATACATATATATATTCGTAGACTATTTGCGATAGGCCGACCTTTATTTATTTCTACTGATTGTGCAGTAAATCGAATTTCAGTTTATTTCTTGCTCTCAAGCGTTTCGTGCCAACGTTTCACGGGTACACGCTTCAACCAATGTTGTGTATAGTCGTTGCTCCTGACATTGGGGCTGTCGGGGATTGCCACTATAGTGGCGCTAAGGATAATCATAACATTGATTCAGTTGTTAGGGGAAATGATTTACTTACTGTCAACTAATAGTTGACCATAAAAGCAACTGATAATCTGGCGTCCTTCTGCAAGACCTTGCCTTCTTTCCTATAGTACTTAGTATGGGTAATGCACCTCGTTCTTCTTCGTTTTTACTGCGTTCATTTACCTCTTTCCTTTCGCAGCTTCATTGAAGAGTCCACCCCGTCCTTTCGTCTCATCGCCTTTGGCAGATGTATCCCAGCACACGGACGTCAATTCCAAACTAGGAAAAAAAAATTCTTTTTCTCTCCCGAGGGCTCTACGTCCCTTCCCGAGCGTTGCCCATACTATTCGATCTTCTCCGACTTCCAACAACAACAAGAAAACCATAAAGCTCATACAGCCGCCCGAAAACCAGCCATGTATCTTTGTACTCCATCTTACTCAGGCTGAATTGGGCAGGCAATAAGCTTCTTGGTTAAGCCAAAGGATTCTTCTGGCTTGAAGCTCGTGTAATCTTTCCGTGTGAGTGCTAGCGCTGCATGTTCAGGTGGACTGGAACCCACGCCTTTCAGCCCTTCTCTCCTTATTAGACTTATTCGCGCGATAAATTTTTCTCCCTCTTCAATGCTGCTATTGTATTGTGTACTTTTGTCACCGAGGGAAATGATGTACTTTTACTTTATCCATACAACTGGTTTTAGTGTTTAATATTTCTGTTCTTTGTACTTTGTATACTGCGTTAGGTCCTTGGTCAGAGATCAAATCATCCCCGCAGGAATCAGCAAATACCTATTCATTGGAGATGTTTCGATCTTTCTCCTCTTTGAATCCTCCGAAGCCGTGACAGCAGGTCCGCTAAAACGCCCCAGGACTGAAACTCGTCTCACCCTCAAGACATCCCATCACCGATACGGTATAACCAGTCGGCTTGGAACCGTAGTCACCAGCATAGGGAAACTCGAGGATTCCGTTGGTCGGAGATTTGGCGGATGCGACAGCTATCACCAGTGTACTAGAATTAGTACTAGCCTGGTAGATGACGGTAGCGGAGTTGTCTAAGCTCAGGTTTTAATAGGGCTAATTATTGGTATTACGAATCCAAGGTCTGAGCTTTAATCTTTCTCTAGAGTTATGCTGTCTACCTCTGGGTGTTTAGAGGCAAGGAGTCATACACTCGAAGGCGAAGACGGGTCAGCGCGAGCGCGAGGGCTAGGTGACTGGACAAAGACCAACGCGCATAGAGATCGTTGTCGGAGAAGACGGCAAAAGACCAGATTGTAGATCGCAAAGGAGAGCGAAATCGATCTTTCGTGCAATTAACGATTGTGTGTTGTGTTCGGATCCGGACGACGAAGCTTTCCCTAAGCGGGATGATTCTTGAATTCTGAAACAACGCCGGAGGAGTTCTAAGTAGGATAAGGTTTGCCACCGTGTCGCTGTCAGTTAAGACCAACTGTACCGGTGGGCACTGAACGGGTCCGATAGACGCCGATTGTTAGAATCAGAGAATGCAGCCCAGGGATAGAACTGGGGATGAGAATGGGTATCGATAAAAGGAAGCGTTATACATAGTAGCCCTGTGCGGGAAGCTTGGTGCGCAAAATGGAGGCGGAGTGGATGTCATACAGGTAGAAATCCTTCAGCGATTCTGTGGATACGATTAGAGTGCTTTTCATAGTAACTAGTCCAGTTTAGAGCCATCAGGAGCAACTGCGAGAAGCTCTTGCCAGTTCATAGGTCTTGTATAACGATAGACGCTTGTCTGATGGAAGAAAAAATCAGACTTGAAGAAAGCATCAGAATAAGAAGATACGCACTTGTTATTGGCCTAAGAAGAATCTTTAAGAAGCAGCGACCTGTGTTGTCAATGCATTGTCTTATCCCCAGAGCTCAGCCTAAACGAATGCACCGTAGCTCGTGTTGAACATCCCGGATAAGTTCAAAATTGAATCCTTTGGCGTCTTGTAAGCTTGTAAGGAGTGAAAGCGGTAATCGGGGTGCAGAGAGGTCTTGCAAAAGTAAGGGCTTCGTAACATGGCTCATCTAGAGTTCCTTTAAAGCGTTTTGCTCCACTAGAACCGCCGACTCTGTCGGCAGAGATCCTTGCTTGAATCAAAGTCGAGGTAAATAACAATGGTAGACGCAGAAATACAATGGCACCACGGTGAATGACGACGCATGAAATCGGTTTGCATTTATCTGTTCGGAGAACAGGAGAAGCACAAAATTCAGCGAAAGATCAAAGGCCTACAAATTTAGTTCGCAAGTATATCCTGATTTGAATCTTTGGGTTACCCGTGACGATACCGATAGATTGAAAGAGAAAAGAAGAGATCATGGTGCTTGAACAGCCAATAACTCGAAGGGCCTAAAGCGCTCTCCCACCAGCAAACCTTTAGTTTCGTCCATTCAACCGTACCTCAAAAATCTGGAAATTTGACAGCATCTCCACCTACCCAAAGTCGCTCTAATTACCAATCGGCAATCTCATTTGGTATATGAACCGTCCTGTCCAACCCCTCAATTTTCCTTTCCTAAAACCACTGCAACAAGTTTTCGAATTTTGCACACTGATACACCGTATCATCCTTTGAAGCTCAAGCAATGGTGCTAATATCAGCATTACACGTCAGCGTTTGGCGAAGCTATTCCTTCTATACCCTTCGCTTCACGCTACCCATATTTTATCTTGTCCACCGGTGCCTACCTTTAAGCCTTCGCTGTATATCGTTACCCATTATGGCCTCCGTTTTTAAAGATCTTTACCCTCGAGCTTTGATACTGAGGATATGTTCGTTCGACTACAGGAGTACCAGACCCTATCCGCATTGTTTCGTTCCATCAGTGACATTGAAGTTTGAGGGACGCAAGTTCTTGATCCATAGGCTCCACGGGCTCATATGAAGACTGACTTTTATCTCAGTGGCTCATCGAATGGCTGCTGCCAGTGTTTAGTACTGCTGCAAGGCTTCCCTCCTCCTTCTCCCTTACTATGATGGCCCTCCACAGAGCACCGTTTGTAACGTTGTCAGCTAGGTAATCGTGGGCACACGAATCGACCGGCTATTGAAAGCGCATTCAGGAAACAGATAGAGCTCATAGAAACAAACATCAGTAGACTCGCGAGCGTAATGAACAGTAGCAGTGAAAAATCATCATCATGCAAAAGTCGCCGTTGTACCAAAACGAGGTACGATGAAACTTCTGATCTCGAAGCTTTCATTTTCCGAACGTGGGGGAAATCCATCGAATCCTTGCCATTGCAGGAAGACCAGGCATGAAGAGGTCCGTTAACCTTCATAATGCTGACAGAGTAAAAATACATATACTTTTTTTTGGTTGCGCTCCCAAGCAGAGTCGTATTCCTCCAAGGTGATTTTCACTGCCACTGGTATCCGCTGTCCGTCGATTAAAGCGACAGGCCTCTTCACCGAAGTACGGCTTCTAGCCCTGACCTCCCTAGCTCAGATCCTGGATCGCCCATGATGAAACCCAGTCCACTCGCCAGCTATCCTCCTCTCGTTTCCAGCGAACTGACGGCCCCTACTCCAATGAATTCGCCCAAGATATCCATGATGAATGGCTTGCATCCTACGGAAAAGCCTACCAGCCGGAGGAACTTTCTGGTCAAGTCTGCTTCAGATGAGGAAGATGGATTCGAGAGACCAGAGCTTCCTTCCTCCCAGTCGGAGAATATCCTCCCCCATATGCATTCGCCTTTGTTTGGAGGCCGCGGCTCAACCATGGTGAACACGAAAGAAGCGTTCAGAAATAGCTAAAACCACAAAAAACAAAAAACAAAACACTGAAGCAGTAATCTTCAGATATCGCCTGGCAGCCCACCGCGAGGGTCGAACTCGCAGCCTTCAGATAGCCCTCTGCGATTGATCGGATAAGAGTCTGACGCTCTATCCGATTGAGCTAGGCGGGCCTTGCTCGAATTCAATTATGGGCAGATTCAGTATACGAGGAAGGTCAGTTGGTTGTTTTAAATCGCAAACAGAAATCGTCGATATCGAGAAGAGTTTACCGCTCAGATGAACTATATTAGGACTTACCGATCCATGAATGAAGCCTTCACAGAGTCGGTGATACGGTAACCTTTGTACGCAATGGTCGCTATTGAGGTCTGGAGATCAAGCAAAGTAAAAGGAGAGCGCCAACATTCACGGGCGATGTCTATTGCCAAGTGCTCGAAGTATTGGGAATTACATTTTCAAATACCAGCCATAATGAGTGAACCAGCAGAATAAAACGAAGTGCCGAGAAGGACCAGAAGACCCAAATAATGGAGGGCACCTCCATTCTTGGATCGATTCGCAGGTTCTCCGGTTACATAGCCTCTGTGCGTGAACTGTCAGAGAGACAGAGAGACAGAGATAATCACATACCTAGTGTATAGAGCCCTCCCAACGGTCCAAACCGCGCATCCAGCAGCAGCAATTTTCGGCAACTTTAACGCGGCAATGAGAGTTCTGAGACTTGGATTAGAAGCGGACTCGGATAAAGGAATATCGACGCGTACGTTATAAAGACAATAGGCATTGATTCTAAGAGTATTTTGGTGCGCACGTTGGGCACAGTTGAATTTGAGAGCGTCAGGAGAACCTTCAACTTGTTTTAGCTCGGCATAAGCTGTGAATGAAAGCCTGTTAGACTCATTTGAAAGGAAGAAAAGGCAAAGAAGGTATCGGAACCTTGAGGATACTTGATGCCAGCAGCACTTCTGAACTTTGAAACAGTCATGCTCTGCCCGTATAAAAGGACGACTGTGGAGAGAAGTGCTACAGCGACATACGAAGATCTAATTCAAGAGATTTTGTTAGACACGAATGCAGAGGTAAAACATGAACGCACCCTTGCGGTATCTCAATTACTGAGGACATGACAGAGACTGTGAGAGGGAATTGACAGCAATTCGAGTCCAACGTGGCATCTTTATCGGTCTTCGATGCCGCAATGACGCGTGACGCGTCTCCTGGCAAAGGCTAGCCAAATGGAAAAAATTTCTTGAATGAAAGTGAATCGCCAGAGTAGATGATACTGCTCTTCTGCAGTACCAGTTGGGCGACATGAAGCGAGTAAAATGATCCAATCGCGCAATTCGGACTGCCGATTGCGACCTACCTTTTATGGACACGAGCGCTTACGGCCACAAGCGCTTTTCCTCTTCTTCCAGTCAAAAGACTCAATCGAGAGTCGAGGCACTAATGTATCATGGTAGATTTTCTTGCGAGCCTCTTTAGTTCGATATAGTATCGTTCTCAAGCCCTCAAAATCAGATTTACTTAACCAAAGTAGCAAATTTCCTTTCAATGATGGCCAATGCCCCCAAGTGTTCAAATAAAAGTCGACAAACCATTTACTTTGTTAACCACCCTGGCCACAGTTTGGATATGTGGCCCTGTAATCGTTTCTCATTGTTCTGGTCCACCAAATTTGGCAATCAATCACTTTTTCGCAACTCGTTAATTACCTCGAATCGCTATCCAAGAATGTTCAACAATGGCTGAAGTTAACGCGCAAGCCACTCGTTCTTGGAGGGTATATAAAGACTCATATACTCAGCAACTACTCCTCAATTTTCTCTGGAATTGACGCGTCTCATAATTTTCCTTCGCAGTGCTCTTATTCTCATCTCGTATACATAATATGTCTTCGTCTCTGGAAGAACTCGCTTCTCACCTTGGCCCCCGGTCGTTAGCAGACCGTCGTCCAAGGTACTGCCCCAACCCTCTGGGTGCCATTTCCCGCCCTGGTGCAAAGCCTGTGGCTATATCACCTCTCATGGGCGTCGAAAAAAGAAACGCATTCGTTCCTCCTCCTGATGAGATTGCGAATGCACCGATTAACTATTCCAACTACGACACACTCTTTCCAGATTTGTCCTACAATTATGGCTCTAGCGGTTATGCCGCTCCTCCCAGTCCTTCCATTTTCCCCACTCATTACCACTACCACACGGACTTCACTCGCATCCCAGAAGAAGGATTCCCCGCCCAATCTGTTCCTTTATCGATTGCCAACCGCCATGGTCATTTGTTGAACGTCGATCTCGATATTCCGACGTTTAATAATCTATTTCAGGCTACAGGCTACGTCGTTGGAGAACTTATGGGGAATATGCCAGGTTATGGCTATGAACCTGCCTTCATTGCTCCATCTACGCCCGAACCCGAGTCCTTCCGGGCACACTTCTACAGCTTATCCACTAGTAGTAGCGGCGTGCCAAACTCCACCGGACAAGGTCAGATGGGATTTCCTTCACATCCTAGAGATCCTGCGTTGTCTTTTATACCAGGTTCTACTCAGATGCCTCATTATCCTTCCCCTCCTAGCACTTCCTATCCTCCTCTCCTTCCTCCCCACATTCCTACACCTGCACCTTTCGCCGTGCCTTTTCCATTCAAGCATTCTACATCACAGTCTGATGCTCCAGTAATTCCCGGGCCTGCGCCTTTCCCTCCTGCCAGTGGAAACATAGCCAAGAAAGCAGCCTCCACTCTCGCCGCTGAAGGCAGCGGAAATAACCTATACCCATGGCAAGAGTATATCCAAAGTGTACTCGGAGCGAGGTTGAGTAAACCTTTGGAGCATCCGGGGCAGGGTCCTGTCTGGGGACGTCGTGACGAGAGTACCGATGGTGAGGATGAAGCTCATTCGACGAAGAGATCTGATTCAAATTGAGGTTTGGAAAGTTGGTTATTATGTGTAATGGTCCGGCGGACTCGAATTACTTTCTTTCTTTTCTTTTGAAGGCATACTCACTACTCTCTCGCATTGTATTCAGTTACTTATATTGGGCATTGGTGTTGTACTTATTGCATTGTAACTACATTTGCCATCAAATGACTATCCTTTGTGTCATCGAGATTCGATACTACCCTCCCACATTGTCCGCCCAAATAATTCGGACTCTAGGCCTGTTACGAATTCGAAATGGCTTTCGGCTTCATGCCCAGTACTATCGATGACCCGGAAGTTAAAAAGGACCTGGAAGTTAAAAAATCACAGTAAATCGCTTGCGGTGCTTGCACATCGCACTCTTTCTGCTTGAAACTTTTAATATAAGGTGTTGTATATGTTGTAAAGGGATCTATGTATTTACTTTGAAGGAATATTGAAAGGAAAAAATTCAGGATTTTTGAACTTGTGCGAAATCACACTTTTTCAGGTTCACATGAGCTTCTTGATTTTTAGAGCCACAAATACTTCACGGGCAAGTATAAGATTCTAACGGTACCTTTTGTACATATATATAATTAGTACTGCCAGCCCGTTAAGGTTCCCGACGCGTGGTTGTGGTTTCGCGAGCAAAATTGTCAAAAAAGTGCAGTTTCAGACACTGCCAATTGCCGTTAAGCGCTCTTTTAACTTCTCCGCCAATTTCAAGGGTCTCGTCGGCTCCCTCTGGTATCCTTCCTGATGTCTCTTAAAAATCACCAAAGCTCATGGAAAGACTCATTAATATCTCAAATATATTCTCGCAAAATCCGGGAGCCATCCATTGAGAACTGCAATATTTTTTCTATATAGACATTTTTTTTTAACTTCCGGGTCATCGATAGTAGAAGACCGAGTCAAACCAAAGTCAAAAAAAGAACATCGGTACGTCCGCGTCATGGGCCAGCTATTCTTAGATTAGAGGGGGATGGAGCACCTTGTCCAGAAGATGATGAGGTGACAAGACATGAGGTTCTACATACCTTTGATTAACAACCTCAGATTCCATCTAAAAATATCGCCAAGGAGGAGCTGACAAAACGAGCATCTTGCAGAAAGCACCGTATGAGCCTGTGGCAGTAAGTATGCCCGCCAAGGTGGCGCCAAGGCGCCAAGGTGTACTACCACTGTCGATTTTCGATTATTGACCGCAGGACTCAAGTAAGGAAGGACGTGGACTCTTAGTGGACTCGCTATTTCATGGTGAGTCTGTTCAGCCGGCTGTGCATTCAAATTGAGCTGACAACCTTATGTTGGAAATATCATTCTTTAACCATGAATTCAATTATTTCAATATCAATCCATGATATAGTATGGTGACGTTCCCTCCTCACTGGGAACGCTCTTCAGATCCCACGCTCTATAATAAGTTGCATTAGTTATTCAAGTTGCCCTCTTCACTCAAACACTCCCGAATAACACGCTTTATAATATTGCTGCGAGTTCCAATAGAAACGAAACATGCTCTAGTGCTAGTCTCGTTCCTACATGGAAATTGATTCCAGGGACTATGGGATCCGTCACACGCCGGGTCCGCTTCTCTGTGAATCTTTGTGTCAATTTTAATACCTTCTTCCCCAATAGGGACGGGACTGAGGGAAAGCGACCTTCCACCGCCCTGAAATGCGTCCAATAATGCCTCACCAAAAGAAATTACATCCCTCCCTTCCCATCCGTAGAATCTACGACCAACCTCGATGCTACTATCTCTAATGCCCGGAAAACGATGCACCGCAACGGGGATGAGACTGAGGGAAAGCGACATTTCCACTGCCCTAGAACTTGCGTCACCAAAGGAAATTATATTCTTTCCTTCCCATCCGTAAACTCTGCGACCAACCTTGATGCTACCATCTCTAATACCCTGAAAACGATGGCAAAATTTACTCGTTTCCAATACACTAGCTCTGGGTATAAAATGGGCGAAGGCCGCTCGGTTAATATCCAGCAAGTCATATTCGACTACCTCCCTTCCGAGTTCTTGCAGCCTAGTCCTCGCGTTCAATGACTTCTCTAATCAAGTCTGTTATTCTCGCACTCTTTCTTCGTGCATCGGCGACTGCCGTCTCGGTCGGGTATGTTCGTCGCGTGTCTATTTCTTCTAGTTCGCTTACCTTTCTTTACAGAAGTAGGGCCGCTCCAACCGACCTTTGCAATGTGGCTACCGCCGAGCCCAATCTAGCGGGGACCAAGTTCCCCCCTCCAGCT